ATACATTTATTTTAAGGCATCAAGAATATGTTTTTTTAAATTATGCCATATCGAAGTATTCGATTTAAATTTTTGAAATAGTTGGCAACTCACTTTAAAAATAAGAAAATGTTTTTTTTTTATTATATACGTATTATATTCTGGTAATCGTTTAAAAGAAAGCGTTTTTTATTTGTTTGGAAAAACATTTTGAAATTAAGTATTGTACCCGATTTGATTTATTTAATTGTAAAGAGCTGGCAACGCTTCTAAAAAAATCTTATAAAGCTGTAATTTTGTTTTCAATATATCATGTTGTATACCCATTTTGTGACATTTAATTTTTCTTAGCAAATTATTGATGTAAAATTCTTTAACTGGCAACTATCACAAAAAAAATGCACTTTTATGCCTCCTATCATATTATAGTTATTTGTTGGTTAATTCAGTTAAATTCAGCTGTAAATTTTTAAGCTTCTTGTATTTGTCACGAATATTCTGACAATAAATATCTTAATTTTTATAAAATTTTTTTAATAAAAATTTCAAATCGTTGGCAACGCGCATCAGTAAATAGTTTCCACGCTGGTTTTTCTAAAACATTTCCCATTTAATATAATTATTGTAAGAATCTTATATTATATTTTATTTAAAAAAAAGTTTTCAGCTTCTTCTTCTTCTTAAATTCTATTCTATCACCTATATATTGTATAGGTTTTGTATTTAATTTAATTTTTTCTTTTTATGTTCAAACATCTGGCAACCATGACGCTAAAAATGCATACACTTACCGATTTTTAGGTACACTAAACCAGTATTCAGGTCTCAATTTATTTTTGCCATACGACATAACAGAAGTCGGCAGCGGTATTGCCTTGCCAATGGGCTTGCCCATGCGCAGGCGTAAGTACAATGGTGGGTCCGGGCAGGCGCGTGCCGGTCGTGGTATCAATTCTGGAGAGAAAAACAACGGATGAAAAATATATATCACTAAATGATGAAAAATACAATTACCGGCTACACATACAACATTTAGGCTTATATGTAAATATTTATTTCTATATACATATGATTATGTATAAGTATGTAGGCGTACATATATTTTTGAGTATGTGTAAATTTTAATTAATATCCACAAAATATTTTAAGCTAGAGCAGATAAGAGCTGGGAATTTTTCGTGTATGCACTGGTTGGAAATCGCAGAAGGGTTTATGTTATCACAAAAAAAAAAAAACCAAAAAAATAAAAAATAAAAATAAGAAAATAACTTTTTGTGACACACATAATTACTGTATATAATAAATTTATAACACTTAAGCTGCAGTCGATTATTTTAGATTGATATATGTATGAATTATTTACAAAGGAAACGTAGACACGGGTGAATTTTTTCTCAATCAAATATAAAGTAAGAAATTTGTTGCTATTTTTTAGCAAAATTTCTTTTTATAGTTGTTTTTGTTTGCCATATTTTAGCTGAATTTCAATGATACTTTCGTTTTGGGTTGTACACATTGAGATAGAGTTTTTGAGCGTTGTTGTGTATGTGCATATGTAGTATATACACGGGAAAATATTTTTATGCAATTAAATAAATGATTAAATTTACTGTTAAAGAGTATAAAAAATAGACTTATTTAGTATACAAACTGTGTCACGTACCGACGATATTCAAGAGTGGAAAATATGGCGCCCGAACTACATGGTATTAAATTTTTTTTCGAATATGAAGTAGGTGAGTGAATATAAGAGTAGATGGAACGATACAGTGTAGCATTTTGATAATTTTTGTGACAAAAAGTGATACAAAAATAAATTAAAAATACTGTTATAAATTGTGAATTAAATGTAGCTATATCACATCAATCATTATTTTAAAATATCGGTAAAAATAACTTTTAAGCACCTCTCTATAAAATATGTGGAACTAAAGAGTCTAATTGCAATTTATAGTCGATTAACACTGTCCAAAATGTCTAAACATGATTTTTGCTGAAGAATATGAAGAAATATATAGCATTTTTCGAATGAAAATATGAAATACTACTGATTCGAAAAGCAAATTTCAAAACAATATTTTTGAAAAAGAGAAGAGATTTAAATAGCCTTATAACAAGACTGATAATGACACGAGAGCGACACGCTACGTCATAAACGTAACGTAACGCACTGTTGAAGTTTCATCGTAATTGTAAACAAAACAGTCAACTAACGAAACTTGCCAAAAACAACTAAAATTTGCTTAAACCAGAAACTTTAAATTCGCGATTAACTTAAATAGGTTTTTAAGTAGGAAAGTGAGAAAAATTAGAGTTCCATTGCACATATTTACTTAACTTAAAGCTTAAAATAGTAAATAACTTAAAAAATATAAAAGATTTACATCAACAAAACTTAAAAACAAAAAACTTTAAAAACCTCCTAAAAACAATCTAGAAAAAACTGTAAAAAAACCGAATATATTTAAATAAAAAATCAACATGATTTGTATACAAAAAAAAATTTAAAAGTCTTCAAAAAAAATTTAGAAGTCTTAAAAGCTTAAAAAGTCTCCAAAAACAATCTAAAAAAAACTGTAAAAAAATCTAACACATTAAAAAAAATCAACATAACTTGCTTACAGAAAAAATTTAAAAGTCTCCAAAAATGTGATAAGTCTACAAAAACTCTAAATAGACAAAATTAATAAAATTGACTTACTATCAACGCTAATGAATAATTCCGGTTTGTCATCAACTGATACCATCGAACGGTAGTCCAATTTCGGTTGCTGTTTCACGTCCTTCAATTTCGTTGTGGAAGCGGTGCCCTCCGACGATTGTGGACGCATAAATGTACCAATCGATGAGCGTCTGCATGTGGAGAGAAGCAAAATATTAGTTCAAAGAGAAATAAATATTTATTATTTTCAGCTTTTTTTGCATTAATGCTTTTTTGTTTTGACGCGGAMAAAAAAAAAAAAGAGATACAAGTGAAAGTGCTAAACGTTGTCCTACACAACCAGAAAACAATAAACTAAATGTTTAATTTTTTTAAAATACATTTATAAATAACAGTAAAGCCGTGTTTACTCTATCTATTATATACATATATTATGCAGAGAAAAGTAAAATAATTGATCGTTTGAATATTTATTTTTTTAAAGACACTTTTTTATATAAAAGTAGGTGAAAACTTAAAATTGTTTTAATTAAATTTCGAAAATGTTTACATTATATGTAAGTTAGCTAAGCAATTCGAGGTTTTACTGCAAATAACTAAACTTTATTTAACAAAATACACACTTGTCAGTTTTGACTTGTAGTATTATTCATATTTTTGCTATTTTCAGATTTTTCTTTTCATCTACTTCAAAATTTTTAACTCAGTTTTTATTTTATTTTTTTATTACATCAATTGAATATAAAACATTATGCTTTAGACCTTAAAAAGCCTAAAAAAATTTCCATAATTAATATCGTTAGTCGATATGAGTAGAGAAATATCTGTTTTTCTAAGTTAAAGTGCTAAAATGATTTTTTAAGTTAAACATAAATTAATGTTTTGAAGTAAAAAGATGATACGAGTCTGATATGTTTTACTATAATATTGATATAATATGTCACTTTAGAAACTCTAAAAGAATTTTGTGTGCAGAGTTTTCGATTCTTGTGTAAATTTCGAAATCGAATTCACCACATATTTAGTTCGGTTGCTACTCCGGCCTAGTTCTGCAGCATGTCAAGTTTTTGATGTAATTATAAAAGCTTAACGACTAACAAAAAACAATGTGTTCCTTTCGAATTTTCGAACAATTCTCTTTATTCACTCTAATATAGAATTTATTACATCGCATTTTTGGCGTAATTATAGAAACTTAGAAGTAAAAATAATTTTTTTTTAAAGGAATATTAAAATGTTCGAACATAACAAAGTTTTACGAATACAGTTTATAGAACAATTTGTTTTTTGCGTTAAACGTATTACCTTCTTTAGGTACAATTTGCCTTGCTTATAAAATTTTATTTTATTTTTAATATTCCGAAAATAGAAGTTTTTAATATATACAATAATAAGTATACGATTTCATAAATTTCGAAATCAATAATCGAATTTGGGAGTTTTGCCTTCTAAATATCCGTATAACTTATGTCCATATCATAATATAAAGAAAAAACTTTTATGAACACTATTTATACAGATTTAATTTAACTTTCAGATAATATTATATGGTTCTGTTCGAACTATGATTTCTGAGAGTTTTCGCCGTAATAATGAAAGCTTGATGAGTAGCAGAAGTCGAACTTTTGGTCTTTTAATTAATATTCGAATTTTCGAACATTCCTCTTTACTCACAATTCTATATAAAATGGACGGAATATGCTAATTTTAGAACATAACAAGACTTCGCGAATATAACTAGTTATAAGTACTAGTTTCTTCTCCTATCTGTTTTTTTTTTAAGATTGCAGTGCAAAGCAGAATTTTTTTCAATTGATTTTAAGTACAAAATTTTGAAGGTAACAAGACTGGCTATTGAATTAACTTATGGATTCGGAGTTTTTTTTTACTATATATTATATCTTTATAATTTCTGGCTATATATCAAAAAAAAAAAAAAAAAAAAACTTGTGAATTGTATTTATTTATATTAAAGAATGTTCAGATACAATTATTTTCTGACATTATTATTTTAAAAATTGTAGAGCATGTCAGCAATATTTAATCTTTAGCTTTGCGTATTCCTGACAGCAATAATAAATATTTTCCTAAGTAGACCAATATCTCTTTCTCTAAATTTGAATACAAGTGGTGTTGGTGAATTTTCGAAAAATATGCTTAACAACATGAAAAAAGGCTATAGGTCAACGAAGGTAAACGAAATAAATAGCAGACTTTTCTATGAAAAAGTTCTTAAAACATTTACAGCATCTGGTAAATACTAAATCAAACAGCAGTGCATGGGAAAAAAGTGCGGAATAAAAAAATAATTTTACGCTACACATTTACGAATTCGAACTTGTGTTATTTACATGACAATTTATATGTGTAGTACTTTCGAGAAGGGATAGAAACACATTTAGCAGAATAGTTACACAAAGGTACTAGGAAAAAATAAAATTTAAAAGGAAAATGGTTTTAGAGCGATAGCACAACTGGGATAGACTCCAAATTAAACGCAAAATTAATTTTTGTGTTGACGAAAAAATATCGAGCATACAATTGATTCGAACATTACAAAGTAACAAAAAGTTGTATAAACAAATATTTGTTTGGCGGACAGTGAAACGACAAACAAGCACTTAAAAAACCCATTGAAACTTCAAAATTTTTGTTTTTGTTTGCGAAACGTAACAGTACTCGCGGCCAATGCAATTAGTCAATATTCGATATTCGAAGTTAAATGCAACAAAGCAACTAATTCTTACCCAGTGGAAATATGACCCTCGGAATGAGTTGAATGCGGAGTCAATGGTGGCACTGGTGAGCCACCAGAGTCTTCGGACGGTGTTTTTGAAAATAAATTGCCACCCAACTCTGAGACCAAAGTAATGGGTGAACTGTGAGTATTCGAATCAAAACAAAATAATAATAATTGTTTTTTGTATGCATTGGGTGTGGAGAGTAAAGTGATGTGTTGGATTTCAGGTAAACGAAAAGTTTAGATGGCAGCATGGTGTGTTCGTTTGTACGGGCGTTTAATGGTTGGTATTCGGTAAGTGCACGGAAAATATTGAATAAATAATAATTTTTATAATTTATATAAATATGTGATATATGTGTTTGGGGTGGTATTTTTCACAAAAAAAAAAAAAACAAAACATAAGATAGTAATAAAAATATTCCAATCGCCGCAAGTTTAGTGAGCATTGTTTGAGAAATTTCGTTTTGATTTTTGGAAAGGAAGAAAATCAAAGGAAAAAATGTTTACCAATTATTCTTTTGTTTCTCATAAATGCCTTACAATAATACTAATTCAACTAAAAACTGTATATGATTTCCAGCAACGGTAAAATTATTGCTAAGCCGATTATATGCCGCTGAACTCACCTTGAAAATACTTTCGAAAATACGCTCTGATTCGAATCGCCCGTGTTGGGCGCCGACTCAGAGTCCGCCGACTTGCCGATGCTGCCACCAGTGCCCGGAGGGCCTCCTGCTTCGCCAGTTAGGCCTTCCACCCAAGCCAAAGGATATGATAAGCGTTTCAACATCTTCGAATGCATAAAAATATTGTAATGTTATTATTTCTAACACACATCTATTGCATTTAGCTTATACTTTATTCTTCTTCTCAGTATTCTTGTCACCCTGTGCGGCTGCAGCTGCCGCCGATGCCGCAACCGCCGCTGCAGCCTGTTGCTCGCTATTGTTATCGTCCACACTGAAGCTGACGCTAGTGGTCTTTTTGCGCCCGCCAGCCGTGCCCGCGTCAAGGCTTTGTGCGCTCAGCACTGAGCTGCGCGGCGGCGATTCGCTCATCAGTGTCGGCGAGATGGTCTTCGGTGGCACCCAATCGGAGCTCAGCACAATATCGGCATCACTGTATACGGTCTTCTTTGGTATGGGCTGCAAATTCGCTATGGGTTCACGTATGTCGATGCCCGAGTCATAGCACGATTGCTTTGCTAGCTCCTCCAGGTGTTCGAGATCGGCGGGTGCCAGACCGCCAGGTAAATGTAAAGCGCCACTAGCCGCACCAATGCCGCTGATGGAGGAGGTGGCCGAATGTGGATCCTGCCCACGGGCACCGCTATCAATGGTGGTTTGCGATTCGTTGTCGCCTTCGTCTTCCGATGATCTTCGGGAATTAAGATAATAGAGGCTGAATTTTTTGCAAATTTTGCATATTGCAATTTACAGTATTATTTTTTGGAAGTTAGTGCACGCGTATGTAGTGGTGATGGTAAGCGAATTTCGTTCCGTTAAGAACGTTTCGTTATGGAGGCAAATGTCGGAGAGTGGCAGTTGTACAATAGTATTGGTGGGAGTTTTTTACATAATGGAAAGTAAACAGTTAATAATTATGTGTGGAAAGTGGTTGCCAATTGATGTCGGTTTTTTGCATTTTTGTTTTCATACACAAAATGTGTGTGTGCATGTGAAGCGGTTTCACAATTCACATATGAAAATATAGGAAAATAAAAATTTACAAAATTAAAATTTCAAAGTTTTGCAATTTCATATAGTAAATAAATGCTACCAATTATAGTATATAGACACACATACACGCACACGCTGTCTCGGCATGCGTGGTTATTAGGCAGCGTGCGAAAAGAGAAACACGAGACCTCAGGAGGAGCGAACAAAAGTTGTATTTACGTCAATAATTTACGATTCACTTTAGATCTATTTTTGATTAGTGTTAATTGGTAACCTGATTTTTAAAATAAAGTCATTGGAAGATGGTTACGCTGAAAAGGGATAGCCAGTTTGTTAGAAAGCAGGAAATGCGAGAGCGGGCTTTAGCAAAGAAGTTATTTTGTACCGCAATGCGTTCAAAGAATTGCAAGTATTATTATTATTATTTTAATTTTTTTGTTTTTTTTGTTTTCTAATATAATGAAGAATTGCGAACTATTCAAAAAATGAAATTTAAATTAACAATATCCGTAACACATCAAAATACATTTTTAGATTTCTTTAAAATTTTACAAATAAATTGAAGTATTTTGAACTGCTCGCCTTATCTTCGTTATAATACGCATAGATATTTGAGAAGCATTTAATTTTGCGCAGTTTTCGTCTTCTCAGTGTCAAATATTTACTGAATTTAATTTGATTTTCTTATCAAGGAAGCGAAAAAGATACTCGCTGCATGATTGATGTTGGCAAACAAAGCTTTACATATGTACTAAACGTATTGAAATTGAAAATGGCGCCAGATAATACTTTCTTTTACGATAAACTCTACGATATACACTACACATTGCCAATAATTCCACTTTCAGCAAGAAATGTTATTTCTTTGCTAACCAAATGGCTCGTTTTAAGCTGCGTCAGAATAGCTAATTAATTGAACTTCCGAAAGTGGCGCCGAAGACTAGATAGTAACCCTGAACCAATTAAGATAACCGTTCATTTATTTCTTAAACCAATACAAGAAGCTTACGCAAGCGAATTTATGTAGAAAAGGAGAGACAAGCACGGAGACGAAGACCAGTACATAAACGTAGACAAATGCATGCAAGTATAGAGTGATGTATGATGGTTAATCGAATGCTGATTACTTACCGATCTTTGCTCGGTATGGCCCAATGGTGATCCAATAGACTTTTGCGTCGCTCCTCCAGTGTGGTGCGTGAATCGGTAAGGTTAAGTGTTTTCTTCAAATCATTAGCATCAGCATCGTCGTCGGTTTTGTTGGCTTTCGTGTTGACCTCATCATCAGTCTTAGCACATTCTTCTTTGGCTTCTACACCCTTCTCTGCGTCTTTTTGCTAAACATTAAAGTGCATTATATCATTTTTTCATATACATACATGAGTATGAATTATTAACAAACCTCACGTTCGCCCGTGTTGGAGCATAGCGACTCCTGATCGTCACATGTCTCCATGGAACCACCTGTTTGTTAAATACGTAAGTATATTTAGCGATTTGAATAATGTAACAGTGCATATTTTATATATTAAACTTATTTTTTACGCATTTACATACCTGTAGCGCTTTGCTTGCGCGCACCGTCAACACATTCATCCCCCCTCTCTTTGGCCTCTTTAGCCTGTTTCGCTTCTAATACTGCTTGTGGATAGTAGATTTCGGCATTTTCATTTTGTTCGGTATTTACACCGCCCGACACACGCATATGCGCTATATCGTGAAAGATGGCCGCATTCACGACCAATTCCATAGGTGCAATTACACCGTAACTCTCGGGTCCATGTTCAATAACTAACGGATCGGAGACGTTCGGATCGAACATAACAGCGTTGGGTGTGACCAAAAGGACACCACCCACGACACCTTGTCCATCGGTGATATGGCGTACATTGATTTTGAGGAAACGTTGTGTGATGACGGGATCGTCACTCTTATTTGCTTCGGCTTGTGCATTGTCGGTGCTCTTGGCAGAATCGACACGTTCTATATGACCCGGCTTAGGTGAACCAGGGCGGAGACCTTCTAGTATATCTGTAAGAATTTACATAAGAGAAAGAGTGTATACGGCATTAACAGTTAGTACAAAAAATTTCATTTTAAATTAAAATTTATAATAAAAGTGGGTCAAGAAACAACTTGCTTCAAGCGGGTTTGAATTATAACATTAACACAAGCCTGCTTTTATATACTTATGTTAACAACTGTTTCACTTATCTAGGAAAGCTATACCACCAGCTAATACAATAAAAAAAGGTGGTAAGTCAATACTAAAGCTATATATGTATGTATGTATATGTGTATGACCCGTGAGAACTAATAAAAAATTAACCTTTTTTTGGAAAATCGAAATCAACTTGTTGCAGTTGTACGGAACGTAAGGTCTAGGCTTGAGAAATTAAATTTAAATAAATATGTGCTATTATATAGTAGTAAGCAGTTCTAAAACATCGCTTTAAAATAATATCTAGATAAAAAGAGACAATGAATGTTTACTAGATGGTAAAATCTGGTAGTTAAATGGATTAGGAAGCTAAATCATCAGTTTTGCATCATTTACTGCTTATAATTAATTTTTTAATTTTATTTGAAGAGGTTGATTATTGATTTGGTGATTAATGTCACAGTAATGTAACAGTATGTTATTGGTACAGTCTTTGAGGACGATTCGCAGTAAAAATGTTTACATATTTATAATCATTAATATGGGACAAAGTATTTTGACTAACTTTGTTTATCTAACTTATGTATACACTTCAACCATTTGCTAAAAAGTTGTGATAATTACTTCGTAGAAGAACATGTATGTACATATGTATATCGAACATTTAGCACCTTTCTTTATCAAAATTATTTACTGTTTATTATAATGGAATATTTTTACTTAAAAACTATTAGAAAATGTTTTCAAATATTTATTTAGAGCATTTGCATATGCATATACTTAGAATGTTCACCTATAAACGTTAAGAGAAATCGCATGACAAGTTTTTGCTTCAGAGCTCAAAGTTTCAGAGCGACCAGTCAATTTTCAAAAATTGTGTAGCGTTAGTTCACACAAAAGTAAATATACACAGAACTAAATAGAGATATTTTACTTTTATTGATCCTAGTAATGTGTATTAAAAATAAATCTGTTAAGGCTTATATAATTATGTCTTATATTATCAAAATATTTAACTAACTACTGCAGTGTTCACTTTCTTCCTTAACTAATAGCTACATAAGACTTTTAGTGTGCGCATTTTATCAATTTCGATAGATAAGAGAAAAAGCGTTAACTTCGGTTGAAACGGTTCGGTTGTTAATACCCATCAAATATGTAGTTCTTATAGAATAAAACGATAAAAAAATGTTTTATCTTGATTTTGATTAGCCATTTTGTATGGAAGATACTTATATGTTATAGTGATTCGATCTGAATCTGATTTCCTCTTCTTGCTAATCCGAACTGAACAAATTTGTAAAATATTGTACCGCTTGTTGCTTTGGACGTCGGTTGCATAAAAGGCATAGCTTTTTGGAAGGAAAAGAACAAGTGACATATCAATATTTAAAAAACTGAGGGACTAGTCCGCATATATACATACAGACAGACGGACATGGCTAAATCGACTCATCTTATTATTCTGATCATTTATATACCAAATGTATTTACAGAGTCTCCGACGTTTTTTTTTGAGTGTTACAAACTTCGTGCAAACTGGATACACCATGTTTAGGGTATATTAGTAATGGACAACAATTAAGGTTTATTCAAATATTAGAAGTCCGATTAACACCTTTTATGCAATATTTGTATTGATAAGACGTCATATGAACTTATTTAATAAGTTAGATGAAGTAAAGCTACAAATCACTCTACAAGAAAATAAATAGTCTGCTCGTAATTTATAAGGTCCCATATGGTCTAGTGGCTAGGATATCTGGCTTTCACCCAGAAGGCCCGGGTTCGATTCCCGGTATGGGAAGATTTTTTTGCACATTTTTTAAAAAACTTTTCGTTTTGTTTTAACTTTTTGTTATTAAAAATTGTTCTCATTTTATATTTGCTAAAATTTTAGTTATGAACATTGTCATTACAAACAATTCACATCAACAAGAATGTAAAAGACCTTCCATTATCACTTCAAGCAATTAATCAGGGTTTACTACTTTTTGATTAAATTAATATTTTGTAGTCAAAGCATTTTAATTCCCTACATAGCACCAGATATAAATAACAATTTTTTGTAATACATATGGCCCTGAAATTACGAGTTTTTTTCGATGACCGGCTAACATAAAATAAAAACAAAAGCTGCAACGTAACTTCTGTCGTTGCTCTGCATATGACTGGCTGTAAGTGACAACTCTTATTTCACATTTGTTTTTTGTTCACACAAAATTCTTAACAATTAGCACTGTTCATGTATTGTTGATTTATTGGGAAATGTAAATAAAGAACTGGTCATCTTTGTGTTCACCTCCGTTACGCCAAAAGACCGCTGTATGCATTGTTAGCACTTTTTATTTTCTCCCACTCGCCGTTGAACTAGTCGAATTGGGATCTTCTTTCACACAAAACACACAATTTACACCAAATTTTACAGTTATTAACGTCTCTCCATTAAAAATTATTTCTAATTAAATGGAAAACGATTTTTTGTAACAATTTATACGATTCTAGAAAATGATTATTTGCAGAACTCTTGACTGCTGTTACTCGTATGTTGTTGTTTTTACGTGTGCTAAGTCAATGACAGCCAAACGTCAACAGCATATGTGTGGAAAAATGAACAAGTCAGAGGAAAAACGCAAACCGCTGAATAAATGACTACGATGAATGAGTAATTACGAATAAGTAAACAAAACGAAATGATGGTTGACATTTGCTGGTGTCTAGTGCTGCCACATGTTTTTGTGAAAGCAATATTTTTCAGCGGAGTCGCAATCAAATCATCAATTTCTGATCGGAAGACAAATCGCTTATTGGATTGATTCTAAAATATTTTTCAATATTGAAAATCATATAAAACATTAATGTATAATTATTAAGAGCCGGTTTTATGAAAATATAAGCAAAATTAATCATTATTTACATTTATTAAAGGAATTCCTAAGGAAACCTATGGTAAAATATATAAACAGGTTTAAATTATATATGTATGTATGTACATTGTTGTGAAGTTATTTCTTGTGCGTTACTGCTTATCAGAATTATGACGAAGTAATTAAAAACGAAAAGGATAATAACAAAAGATTAAACAAAAAATTGTTAATTTCTTTTACAAATACATATCTCCAAAGGTTTCCATTCAAGAACTTGATTTCGATCGGTCTGTTTGTACCTCAACACACGCGCCGTCAGTTCTGCTTTCTCCAGACTGTACAAGGAGGCGAAGCAAATGGGTCTGGCAGTGAACGAGGGCAAGACGAAATATCTCCTGTCATCAAACAAACAGTCGTCACACTCGCGACTTGGCTCTCACGTCACTATTGACAGTCATAACTTTGAAGTTGTAGATAATTTCATCTATCTTGGAATCAGCGTAAGCACCACCAACAATGTTAGCCTGGAAATCCAACGCAGGATAACTCTTGCCAACAGGTGCTACTTCGGACTGAGTAGGCAATTCAGAAGCAAAGTCCTCTCTCGACGAACAAAAACCAAACTCTATAAATCACTCATAATACCCGTCGTGCTATTGGGTGCAGAAGCTTGGACGATGACAACAACTGAGGAATCGATGTTGCGAATTTTCGAGAGAAAAGTTCTGCGAAAGATTTATGGTCCTTTGCGCGTTGGCCACGGCGAATATCTTATTCGATGGAACGATGACGATATACGATATACGACGACATTGACATAGTTCAGCGAATTAAAAGACAGCGGCTACGCTGGCTAGGTCATGTTGTTCGAACGGACGAAAACACTCCAGCTCTGAAAGTATTCGACGCTGTACCCGCCAGGGGAAGCAGAGGAAGAGGAAGACCTCCAGGTGGACCAGGTGGAGAAGGACCTGGCTACGCTTGGAATATCCAATTGGCGCCACGTAGCGAAAAGAAGAAACGACTGGCGCGCTATTGTTAACTCGGCTATAATCGCGTAAGCGGTGTCTACGCCAATTAAGACGAAGAAGAATAAGCAAATCTAACAAGGTTTATTTCGGAGGATGGAGTCATGTGTAGAAGTTCACGTAAGTGAGGAAAGTTCTCTGATCGCCATTCACTTGGGAGTGGCCATAAATGACTCTTTTACATATGTATGACTCAAGCAGCTCACGACTTCCGGTCTTTGACCAAGTATCCTCTGGGTAGCCTAAGAACATCCGTTTTAGGGCGAAACGCCACACTACCAGTGAAAAATGCACCTGGAATGTGCGGTCCCTCAATTGGGAAGGTGCACTACTTTGGCACTAAGGTCGGTAAATTCAGCTCCACGAAGAAAGATCCCCAAATGGGTTGAGGCTGATCGACTTCGCCGGGGCCCAAAATATGGTTATTTGTAGTACTAGATTCCTACATAGGAAAACTTATCAAGCTACCTGGCTGTCTCCGGATCGAAAAACCACCAACCACATCGATCATGTTGTGATAGACGGAAGACACGCCTCCAGTGTTTTAGATGTGAGTGCGCTCCGAGGTGCTACTCGGACCATTATCTCGTTGCAGCCAAGATTCGCACCCGCCTCTGTGCAGCAAAAAACGCACGCCAACAAACACAAGGAAGGTTCGACGTCGAGAAGCTGCAATCACAACAGACAGCCGAACGATTTTCTACTCGACTTGCACTCCTGCTCTCTGAGAGCACTCGTCAACAACTCGGTATAAGGGAACTGTGGGACACATTTCAAACTCCTTACGTATAGCTGCAACCGAAACCATTGGTTTTCGGAAAGTGCAAAAGAACAGCTGGTGCGCTTGGAATATATAATTGGCGGCACGTAGCGAAAAGAAGAAACGGCTGGCGCGCTGTTATCAACTCGGCTATAATTGCGTAAGCGGTGTCTACGCCAACTAAGAAGAAGAAAAACAAGGTTTATTACCCTTACAGAAGCAAAATAGACATATACTATATATGTAAGTATATTTAAGAAGGAAAAGCCACGCAAAAGGTACTCTCCACCAAAGCTTTCTTAAGTGCAATATTTTTATGTTTTTTTTTTTTTTTAGTGTAAAATGTTGATTTCTTGATTACAAGGTTCTACTTTTCATAAATGTTTTCAAATTTAAAATCTCTTTCTTTATTTTTATAACTTTCGGCAAATGCAAAACTCACCATTTTCATCATTCTGCTCATCGGTGGTTGATAGTTTGCGATCAATAGGGCTCGATTTGCCCGATATGCTGGCGTCGGAGCCCTTCTCATCGATGCCAGTCGCACTGCCACTGACCGAATCATTCTTGGCCGCACTCTTATCTGGCACCAGCAACTGTTGGCCCGGATAGATGAATGAACTGTTCAAACGGTTGAGATGTGTCAACTCTGAGGGTGTTGTATCGAAACGTGCGGCCACCGAGGTCAAGGTATCACGATTACCCACCGTATACGATTTGGTCGGTATGGTGGGCAGCGAAGACTTTTTGCGTTCATCTAGAATAGGCGGTGTTGTGGATTAAGGTGGACAAAGTTATGACAGGAAAGACCAGGCGGATGTATGGCAAAGGCGGAGCAGAGAAATTGGAAGAAAAAGAAAATAAGAACATAATTAAATTAATTAATTGAAAATAAATGTTATATAAAAAAATAACAAATTAATCAATAATGAAATCATTGTTTTACACGTACAGGCTTTGTATACAATACATAAATAAATTGTAGTTAGTAATCTGTTAGTAAATAGGAAAACAATAAATGTAGAATAAACAAACGCACTTCTGTTACAAGCCGTTCCTAGTGCATGGCTTGTTATCGCTGTAGTTGTTGGTTTTGTTATCACTTTCGGTGTTTGCTTGAAGATTACAAACTTGTCATAAGCATTAGTGAGCAGCTTTTGCAATGCGTTGCCATGATTATCACTGGCGTCACCAACACCCGCCACCGGCCAAGCCCCACCGCACACATTGTTCGCTTTATTGGGCCGACACAGGTAAACAACAACAAAGTTGCTTGAATTTTCTTCATGCCGGAATATTTGCACACTTTTCATTTCAACATTTGCCGCGCATAATTCACTAAACGACGCATAAATACAAACATTTGCACCAAAACACAGACACTTCACTGCAGCAGCTTGTAGAATGAGCGTGAACGAAAAGCAACTAAAACTTTCAATTTCGAATTCAAACAAACGAGTTTAATTTTTAACTAAAGCCTGCTACACTTCCAAGAAAGATTTTCATTTTTGACACATGTTTTATTTTCGTAGAACAGCAATTGAGTGAAAAGCTCAGGTTACGTTAGATACATATGTACATAAGCACTGTTTCAGCGGCACTCAACGAGGGCGCGACACCTCCGCAATTTCTTATTTTATTATTTTCGTCGTCGAAATAATAACTTCTTTTCACCAGCAACCGCCCCCCCCCCCGCGTGCTGTTAATCGGTAGCACAACAAAACAAAAAAAAACGAAAAAAGTGAGACACCCCGCTAAGACATTGCTGTGCTTGAAATGCAAAGGCAAAAATCTAACTAATTGTTCGTTTTGTGTAATTTTCTACTGGCGATCTTGTTGCGCTTTATAGTTATTTATTTATGGTTGTGTATGTTTTTGTTTTTGACTTTTGCATTTGCTTTTCATTACGGACTCAAAGTTGAGATATAACGCGCGTTTTTTTTATTGACTTTTATGCGCAAATGAGTAAAATGTGTTTGTATGTGACATCCATACATAAATATTCCTTCTGTTTATTGTGATACGTTTTACGGGCTTCGCAATCCATTTATGACATTCTCTGAGCTTTGGACAAACTCTCCCATATATGCACATTTGTGTGGTATGTATGTAAACTGCTGCCGCTGCACTAAATTGGCCATTTGGCAGCAGAAACTTACAAAGCAAACAAATAATAAATAAATGAAATTTGAGCGAATGCAGCACTTAATAAGCGACAATACAGACATATGTATTTATTTTACGGTAAAATTTTAAATAAATTTTATATGACACATTTTGTTAACCTCCTTTGTAGAAAAGCCGGCATCTTTTAATTAAAAACAATATTTTGGCGCAAAAGTATAGAATCGAAATACATACATATGTATATTTTTCCTGACAAGGTTTATTATTATACCCAACGATTACCATACTCCTGCCCAACCGACGCGAGGGTGCAATCCCTTAGCCAAGTCATGAAAGGCAAGAGAGTTTAAGTGTAGCGATCTTCAGCTGCTCAGCTACAAAAAAAAATTTTTTTTCAACAGCCAAAATTAAGAATTAGGTTAAAGTAAGGTTATAATTTTTAAATGTTACTTGTTAAGGCGAGATAAAATAATTTTTTAATGGTAAGAAGTGAGTCTTTTAAATAAAATGTGCTAGAATGCAAATTGAATTCGTGACATACGAGGTGTGTTCAAAAAGTATCGCGAATTTTGTATTTTTTCAAATATTATTTATTTATGCATGAATATCTATTTTGTCCCCTTCAAAGTAATCCCCATGAGATATTATACACTTGTGCCAACGGTTTTTCCAATCTTCGAAGCACTTCAAAAAATAATTTTCTTTATCTTCTTCAGCTCCTCTTTCGATGCGTCTTTATCTCGTCAAGAGAAGCGTAACGTCGTCCTTTCATGGGCCTCTTCAGTTTAAGGAACAAGAAAAAGTCACAGGGGGCCAGATCTGGGGAATACGGTGGCTGCGGCATCATTAGTGTGCTGTTTTTGGCCAAAAAGTCGCGCACATGCAACGATGTGTGAGCAGGGGCGTATCGTGGCGCATAAGCCAATTTTTGTCACATATTCTCAGCCTTCTGAGAACATTTTGTACCACCGATAAACACGTTGCTTCGGTCCAAGTTAGCTTCTCCGTATGCCACAGTCAACATTCGGAATGCATCCGCTCACTTAATTTCGTTTTTCACACAAAATTTGATGCAGGTTATTTGATCCAGTTTTTTGAATAGGTAAAAATCGAAGACGATCCAAAACACGTGCAAGCAAAGCAGCTGTCAACAATTAAATGAACATTCAAAATGGCCGAGCTTGTCGTCATAAGTGAGAGACATGAGTACCAACATAACGCTACAAAAGCTTCGAAATTCGAATATACGTAACCCGCGAAAATTCAAAATGTGCGATAATTTTTGAATACACCTCGTACATATACGGCGGAGTAGTTCATAATTCAAAGAAAAGAAATTTCTAGAAAATTTTAAAAGTAAAGGTATAGTCGGCCTGGTTGAGCGAATGGGAATGTTAAAGTTAATATCAGACAACAGAGATGGACTGCGGTCTGACCCATTCGGAAGTTTTATAAGAAATATTAAGCATTTCCCCAGGACTATCGAGAATAGGTAGATTTATAAGTTTTAAACGATTACTATATGTGGGGAGATTTAACCTGGAATCCCAATGAAAAAGATTTAAGGTAAAAAGTAAAAATTGTTTGAACAGACTCTAACTTCCCCGAGCGGACTTGATAACTAGGGTGTAAGAATAATCTAGTATAGCGTCTTTAGCTTTAAAAACCGTTGAAGATGCGTGAAGATTAAAATTGAGTTTGGGATCCACAGTTACATTCAGATCAACAAAACTGCATACTTGCTCAAAGCTAAAGTCCTATATTACGTATGAAGTAGGTAGTATGATTTAAAAATAATAAAACTCTTAAATACTTAATAACAGAGGATATATCATTAATAAATAACAAGAAAAGAATTGGAGCAAGATGACTACCCTAAAGAACGCCTGAAGGGACATTAATTAAATCAGAAAAAGTATCGTAAAAAATATAGCTTGTTGAGTTCTATTACTAAGATAAGAAGCACACCAGTTTAGAAATATGGGTTGAAACCCAAGAAGCGGTATACTTATTCTCCCTAAAGTCCGTTGATACACGTGTTACAAATTCTAGCAAATTAGTTACTGCAGATTTCCCTTTACGAAAACCGTGCTGAGGACAAGAAATTAGTAGAGAAATCTAGAACGTTATTTCGTTGGTTATAATTGATTTAAAAAGTTTAGGTATTGCTGACAACGTTACTATTTCCCTTTAGTTTTCAATGTATGACCTAAACCCACTCTTATGTAATGGAATAATGATTTTTTCATATTGATGGGAATAAACCTTGCTTAAGAGATGCATTAAATAATTTTGTTAAGGGTTGGTATATGGTATATTTGACACATTTTTTAAGGAAGCATGAGGGAATCACATCTGGGCCATAATTAAATTGTTTCAACATATTTAACTGACATAAGACGTCAACTTCGGAAATGGTAGGTGCATTAACTACAGAAATTGGACATAGCTTGTCCTTTATTTTTGGCCGCCGTTGAGTACAGCGACTTTTTGCAAAACATTATACTGCCATATTCATGCTCAAGAAAACATAGCACTGCGATCGTGTTATCAAAAAGATTTCGTACACATATTCGAGATTGGCATCTGAGTGGTTCGGAAATGCAAATGTGTCCCAGTCAATCCTCCAATCTCAACCCGTTGGAGAATATGTGGAGGAGACTAGCAGTCTTTTCTTTTCAATATATGGAGCAAATGTGCTACAAATCGAGAAACTGCGGAATTGATTAGAAACTTACCAAAACTTAATACAATCCATGGCATAAAATTGGAAAACGTATTAAAAACCATGAATAATATACTAGTTATGAAAAACCCATGGACCATTATAAAAAGAAAAATACTTTTTCAGTTTTTGTTCACAAATTATATTTATTATTATTAAACAATTTCAATTTTACAAATCAGAGTGAAAGATAATCCAGTTTAATACAGGAAAATGTAAATATAACATAAAATACCGAGAAAACACCTGAAGACTCGATCAGGAGATGCTGTAGACTGAAGTAGGCACAAGACTTAGGCAACTGGTAGGATGCAAGTAATTTCGAGAGTGTACACTGAGAAGAAGCACAGCCCTTTCCACTGCAGTCGGGTCTATACAAGGTGAGTTCCAAAGTAAACACGACTTTTTGAACCTAGTGCCCGCTGGAGGCGCCTTCTATATGCCAACTAGTGCGTTAGAACCTGCTGTCTCTATCGATTGTCCAGTGACAATTTCATGACTTTTCATCGATTGGAAGTGAAGTTATTGCGTCAGTGTCAATATGTTTGATTTATCGGTGCGAAAATTAGCTTCGAACAAAGAACCAAGATTAAATTTTGTATTCGACCAAAAATTGCTCAGAATCTAACATTCGATCGACGTTTTTGACTGACTATTTGACCAAAACTCACATTTTAACCATTAACCACTTCGCGTATTCACCTGATATGGCACCGAACGACTTCTTCCTTTTCGGAAAAATGCAGTGGCGTTATGCAGCCGTAGAGCCCATTCAAAAGGCTTGCACTGGCATACTGGTGGCCAACGAGGTAAAAACATTCGTTCGACATGCTTTTGGACCGTGCAAAAAGCTGTATTGAAGGAGAAGAGGACTTAAATTATTTTGCTTAAAAAACAATTTGTTC